TGACGATGCGAAGGGTAAATTCTACGAGGAAATGCATGCCCTCCTGAGGATTGTGCCTCGGGGGGAAAAATGGTTGCCCTTGACGACCACACTTACCTGGAAGGATGTATGGGGTTGCCGTGGTCTCGGCGACTGCAAAAAAGGGTCTTCTCTTTCTGTGAACCTGCGCAAATCACCGCCTCCTCCTGAACAACGCCAAATTCCAATGCGGAGCAAGGCGACCTGGATGCACCCCCCGACCGCGACCTCCATGAAACCATACGACAGAATGCCGCCGGCCATACCACATTACCACGACAGTTTTACCATCAATTTCACCGATGTCCACCGCGAACATGCACGAACTAGGCACGTCTCACGTTAGTGGAAAGAGTATTCTTCGGTTCCTTCTCCATGTATTTCCTCAGCAACGTATGTGTTCCAAGCAGATTATTCCCTTTGTGCGAAATCCTCGTGTTTTTTGCGAGTCCAGGTTGTGCGTATGTCATGCACAGACGGACTGTTATCAGTTCAGCCAGCCTCTGTGCCCATTGCCAGCATCAGACAACTGGCCAGATCGTACAGTGGACTTATGCCTGGGAGAAGGAAGATGTAGTGTGGTTGATCGACTCAGTGCATATTTCCCAACATATATATGCAATCTGACGTGCTTGAATCTATCACGCTGCGCAACAATCCACGGCTTGAAAGACTGCCAACAGACGGAATCAATTGAACCTCGCAGTCAGCCGAGTGTGTGTTTATGTGGGTGACCGACTGGGGGAGCGTCAGGCTGCAATGGCTTCCCCTTAATGTGACCCCTATGGAATCCCATTCACTTGTATCCAAGCTGGTGCGGTTGCACATTTAGCTGCGGGGTCCAGCCGTGCCCTCCATCTGCGCCCTGTCCCACCACCTATTACTATTATAGGTTAATTCACGAACAAGACAATGTTTCCGCGCCAGCATTGCTGCTGAACGTACGGTGAGCCAAATCGGAATCGAGGATCAAACTGTCGTTACCCGTAAACACTTTGTAGATAATTATAATTTCGGGCTGGCAGCAATAACCGTTTGTGCCAAACCAGTTTATAGGCTGGCGCCTTCTT